TTGAATGAGAATGTAATGTGACTTAATGGACTGAAACACTTTCGTTTATCTAATTTTTTAAATCATTTTATTCTAATTTTTTAAACCAATATTTTTATTACTGCCACCAAACACACATTAAGCTTGTGCCTGTATTAACAGTTTTTTCTCAAAATTTTAAAACCGCTTTGCTTTGGCATTCCCGAATTGTTATGCTCTGAAATGATGATTGTCCGAGGGATTCAAAAATGTAAATGAAGCTGTTTTGGTGGACATCAAAAATGTGCAGCTACGAAGAGAAGCAGCAGCTGCGAGCCAGCCGATAGCATCATTATTCGAATCCTCTGATTCATATTTCCGCTGCTCGGGAATGAACTGTTGTTGAAAAGGAGAAATTCCTGACTACAGTAATCTGTGCCCACATCCCTTCCCTAGAGCCCTTGGACACCAGACTTTCCGAGATAATATCGATGATCGAAGAGCGAAAATAACAAAAGGCACAGCGAAAAAAACGCTGATGATGATGATGATAGTGATACCGATGACGTGATTTCCAGACTAATTGTCGGCTTGCCTGTTTTTGTGGCCAGAGGATTTGCAAATTATAAAAAGAGTTTATCTCCGCAAATATCTTCCCCTCACCGCATATTATTGTCCTGGGAAAGTTATCCAAGGGAACAAGGATACAGATGGCGTCATTCTATGCGAAATTTGAAAAGAAATTTTTTTTTCAAATTTGACACACTAACATATCTACAAATTATAACCTAACAACTTTGCACTGTATTTTCACTTAAAATTCAACTACATTTATGTATGATTTTTGACCCAAAATGATGATTTCTTTGACTAAAAAAGCGGAGAAAAATTTTCGACTCAGTCGTATAATTTTATGAAAATCTCAAAAAGCGTAAGCTTTTGCAGTTAAAATAATGAAATTCTATTTGTTTTTTAATAAGTTTTCTGCAAACCTCATATTTTTTTTACACAGAGACGCCGTCAGACATAATGCAATGGTGGTAAGTGACACTGCTCTCCACACGGAAAGTTTCTGCTTCGTCAGTGAGATAATCAATCCCTCTAGCATTCACCACCGTCAGTATAAGGCTACGTTCATTCGTTTCGATGATAAATTGATACTGGCCTATGACAGCGAGATAAACCCGTCAACAGCTTACTTCTAAATAATCACCGGAAGCAAATGTCAGGGAACGCTTGATTTTTGTTTCAGGGAGTTTCACATCCAATGGATACAGTAGCACCGGTACCAGGTCCCAGCACAATTGCTCGAATAAAAAACAAAAATAAAAAAGTGACTGAAAAACAAGACAAACAAGAGGAGAAGCTATCACAATCAGCACCAGCAGCAGTATCATCACCCACAGCACTAGCAGCAACACCATCGTCACCAAAGTCTCCGTCCACACCACCAAACCCAGCAGAACCAGCCGCAACAAATGCATCAATACAGGTAAACCCACGAAATCCTGAATTTTTTGAAAATTCCGCTGAAATAAAACTATCAAGGATTACCAAACTTTATTTTGTGAGATGACGAATATATTTCAACGAACGTTTGCACCCGTCAGCAATTCTGCCGTGTTTAAATCAATTAATTTAAACAAAAATACACCGGAATCAATCCGTATGGGTATCCCATGTTAGTAGTGTTACTGGAGCGCAGCTATGCCAGATTCTTCGATCCTGAGCTACGAACCTTCAGTCAAAAACCAACACCTATTCGATGTCATCTCTTCAGGCACTGCTCGGGTGGTCGTCTGCTTTCTCACAAGTACTAGACGTCCGCCGGTTGTCAGCAAGGCAAGCAAAATGACCTAATGTCCTTTTTTAACATTGCCATTTAAAATAAATGTTCCCTCTCAGTTCATTAATTCCGAGAGACGAAAATACTTGGAAGTAATTGATAATGGTACACTTTGCTAACACTAGCCCTCTGCTAATGCCTCACTAAAGTGTCATTTAGGAGTATGGAACAGCAATGGCGCCTGGAGCACCTGGAGCAGTGGTGCCTGCTGTACCTGCAACACTGACGGAACTTTTCAAGAAAAGGAAGGGAAAACAGCAAGATAAAGTAACTAAAAGCATTTTAGAGACATTCAAAAAAAATGCAGTTCGTGAGACAAATGGGACAGGGACTGAGGAATTGTGTGGAAAGAGGGAAGAAAAGTGAAAAGTGCAGGATCTTATATACAGGATTCAGTCCCAAAAGTTTATGATATTCATGGTTTCATTTTTCCACAGAGATCCACCGCTTCATTTCAGTTGTTTCCTCCTTTCACACAATCAAAGTTAGATTCTCGTAGC